AAATTTTTGGCCCAAGTAAGAGAAACCATGAACTATTTGTGATAAGCACCAGCACTAACAATCCTACCACCACCAGCTTGCACTGACTTGTCCTTGTAATCATTCACTTCATTTCAAACCCATAAATGGCATATCATACACAGAATTCCAACCACCATAGGCATCCAAAAGTATGTGGAGAATACTGGCCACTGGAAGAAGAAATCTTGGAATGAAGAAAAGATCAAGGCGGGTCGCAGACGAGAACATCCTCCACAATCTGGATAACTTGTCGACCGTCAATAGAGAAAGAAGATCTGGAGGAGGATGGCATAGAGGTGGTCTTGTAGCAGTTCTGTATGGGATCATACGCGCTCCATTCTCGATGATTTCGTGTCTGTCGGACCCTCGGATGAATGGCGCCGACAGCATGTGGATGTCTGCAGAGCTGCCACAGATTTCAGAGGTGAATCATCTCATGGTTATAGACAGCATGCGCTATGCCATTTTGATGTGAAACATACTGCAAGAAAACCATGCCTACACAACATGGTTCAAGAAACACGGTTCAGGAATAGATGTCTGATGCAGTTTTACTGGTTTCCAGTTTGCATACCTTTGTCTCATTTACTTAAATTTTGCACATTTCTATAGGGTTTAGGCATGGTCATCATAAGCAGATATATCTGCACACACACATTAACATTTGTGTTGTAATAAAAGCACTTTTTAAGCCAAATAGTTGATTCCTATAGCAACAAACAAACAAACCAAATGTTTTCTTGAATAATAAATATGAGCTCATCTACCTGAATCTGTGTTGTAAATGAGTGAAATGAATATTCTCATGCTGGAATTAAATTATTTATGAAAGTAACTAGCATATTCTATTTGTAAATATTTCCAAAATAGGTACCCTTGAGCAATTTAGGTAATTACTACCATAAACATGCAAATGATAAAGTATCTAGTGTCAATTATTGAGCGCAAAGAACACATAATTAGATAGTTTTAACAAAGGAAGTGGTTTTCCCGCTAGAATGGGTTGGATGGATCTGATCTACCAAGTGATTTGGTCATTCTTCTTCTTCATCTCTGTAGGTCAACAAAACAGACGCTGGCTAGTGTAGCGGCCGGCAGAAAGGGTGCAATAGCCAATGCAACTCCAGGGGAAAGACAGAACTTACGTATGTGAGGGGGAATGAAAGTAAAACATTTAAAGGGGGTAGATATTGGTGAATGTAAGTAGAAAACTGTATCGCTGAAGGATGTCAAAGGAGAGTTTTGACTCATTTTTCTCTAACTCTTAGTTGGCTAGTCATATCGCATAGAAATTGTGCCTGGAGCTGTCTCAGACTCTCAAAAACTTGGGCCTTTGTAGAGGTACTAATTACCAGAACTTGTTCCTCAAAGTCATATGATATATCGAGCTACTGTCCCACTACTAGGAGTTTGTCGACTTATCTTTTGTAGCTGATAATGGGGAGAGTTGAACATTTCTTGTAGCACTAGAGCCGATCTCCTACTAGGTCTTCTATGCCATTCTTTGGTCATCCTTGCTTGATGAGTCCTGAACAGGCTTTCTGCATCAGGTCATCTATTTCAACCCTTTCACATGTATTGAGGCTGAGCACGATTGTGATTGTAGATTGAAAGAATATCTACTTAATTTGGTTAAATATGTTAATTGTAGGTAAATCTCGGATTGGATGAAATTGGATTAAACTTGTACAAAATTGAAGAATTGGGACCAAAATAATCAAGTCTATAAGTTGATGACCTGACATGCAAATAAAAAGGACCTGCAATTCAAAAGAAATTAATGTGGAGGACCAAAGTGCACTAAGCTGAAACAAATTCCTAATTTTACTTAAATTCTACATGAGAGATGCTTTAGGACTTTTCTAGAATTATTGTAGACTTGTATATATAGTTTTAATCATCCTTTTTTATGCAATACACGATTTTAGAGAGAAAAATACATAAATATCAAGATCAAATAGCGAAAAGCTAAGGTTTGAATATTTTTGGGATTGAGAAAGATTCCTGTTGTAAGATCCAGTTACTTCCTTCATTAAGATTTCAACCCCCGGTTACGAACTATATATATTTTTATCAGGGGTGGATTCAGGAATTTTTGGTGCACGGGCTAAAATTTAAAAGTCAATATAATAAAAATTGATCTTCAATTAGTCGAACGAAAGTTGTACTTTCAGTAGGTCGATCTACCCTTTGAAAGAAGAAAAATAAGTTTTTATACTTTTTGAGAGGAGGTTGACCTTCCATTTTCAACTTCGTAAAATTGCAAAAATAATAATAATAATAAAGTAAAAAAGATAAATCATCAATGATATTACTCCAACAATCAAAAAATAATTTATTAAGCCGACAAGGCAACATAAATAATTCATTAGACCTACAAGGCAACAACAACAATCATTAAGTCGATAAGGCAACAGACTAACAACAAGTCATTATCAAGGCAACAAGATAACATTTCAACAATAATTAATTAACTAATTTACAATCAAGACAACTTAGATAAGTAGGCAACAACATTCACTTTCAATATTTTGTCGGCAAGGCAATAAGTAGATAGATTAGTACATTTACTTACTAGGATGTATTCAAGTTTTTGCTTTTCCTACATGTCTGCGGGACTACGTCTGTGCCTTGAAAAATTTACCGCAATTTAGAAATTCAAAAATAATTCTTTAAGGTAACAATGCATCAAAAACAATTCATTAAACCGACAAGCAACAAAAACAACTCATTAAGCCGACAAGACAACATCGTTCACTTTCAATATTGCCGACAAGGCCACAAATAGTGAAAGGAGTGAGGACATTTACTCACTAGAAGAGTATACGCAAATTTCAAGATTTTCTTGCACCGCTGCACATTTGCACCATCGAAACGAAGGTTTAGCTAAGTAGTGCAGACACTATTATTGCAAAATAAAGTTACAATTAGAAGAAAACAATGTAAAAGAAAAAATGGAAAGTAAAAACTGACATGTATGTAGAAAATGGTGGATATACTGAAAATTAAAAACTAAAAACATTTTTAGAAGAAATTTGGGGGGGGGGGGGGGGTTGTTTACTGTTAAGTGAGTAACTCGGCCAATTTTTCTCCATAACCGTGAAAAAAAAAAGCAACAGTAGCCTATAGAAATTAGAAAATTCAATCAACCCAACTAACCAAAACCTTGTCTCACGATTTTAAGACGCAGATTATCTGATTATACTCCACAAAATCCTCAAAACCCGCATCATAAAGAAGAAACAGAAATCTAATTTCTATGGTGTTTACTGTTAAGTGAGTAATTCGGCCAATTTTTCTCCATAACCGTGAAAAAAAAAATAGCAATTGTAGCCTATAGAAATTAGAAAATTCAATCAACCCAACTAACCAAAACCTTGTCCCACGATTTTAAGACGCATATTATCTGATTATACTCCACAAAATCCTCAAAACCCACATCATAAAGAAGAACATGATTAAATAAAAAAATTGCAATACAATTGTTACGGAATAAATATGCACTTGATACTGTATATATAAAGCCACAATAAAAATAAATGGCTACTTGGAGAAAACGATTCAAATTTCAAAAAATGGAGATGAAGGGAGGCAAGTTGGTGTCTTTGAAATTGATTTAAAAAAAGGGTTTACTTACGAGGCTATAGAGAGAGATCAAATGGATATTAGTTTGGGGATTTGGAATTGGGCCAATAATTTAATTGGGGGAGGGGGGATGGAAATCTAATTTCTATGGTGTTTACTGTTAAGTGAGTAACTCGGCCAATTTTTCTCCATAACCGTGAAAAAAAAAAGGCAAATGTAGCCTATAGAAATTAGAAAATTCAATCAACCCAACTAACCAAAACCTTGTCCCACGATTTTAAGACGCAGATTATCTGATTATACTCCACAAAATCCTCAAAACCCACATCACAAAGAAGAACATGATTAAATAAAAAACTTGCAATACAATTGTTACGGAATAAATATGCACTTGATACTGTATATATAAAGCCACAATAAAAATAAATGGCTACTTGGAGAAAACGATTCAAATTTCAAAAGATGGAGATGGAGGGAGGCAAGTTGGTGTCTTTGAAATTGATTTAAAAAAGGGTTTACTTATGAGGCTATAGAGAGAGATCAAATGGATATTAGTTTGGGGATTTGGAATTGGGCCAATAATTTAATTGTTTCTTTTGGGTCATAAAATTGTCTTTGGGCTAGAGCAATTGACTACTTAAATTTGGACACGGGCTGCTTTACTAAATGAACATGGGCTGAATTTGAAAAAAAAATAATAATAAATAAAAATAAAAATAAAAATTCATAGAACTTATTGGATCTGGGCCAGGGCAAGCAGGGGCAGTAGTCCAGACCAACCAATGCCTAGATCAGCCCTAATTTTTATTGTTTTTCATTAGTATGAGTAGAATCTATGTATGACCCTTTATTTTGATTTTCAATATTATAGTAGTTTAAATTTTTGTGTTGATTTCATTTATAGAGCTTAATGCCTTACACTAATTGATCACTAGTTCAATGATCCATGAATCTATAACAAATCAAGATGTAAATTATAGATTTAGACCAAATAATAAAATTTGATAGTTTGGATAAAAGTGTAGATGTACATTTTATGTTTATTGCTATCATTACATGAGTTCTTAGAGACTTAATGCATATAATTAGGTCAATTTGGATTCAAAAAGAAATATGGTGAACTAACTCAATTAAATATGATCAATTTAAACTCGAAATACATAAATTGAATACTTTAAAAGAATTCAACCAAAACACTACAATAGGTAAAGAATCTTAATTCACGAATTAAAGAGGATGCATAGATGAAATTGTAAGTCTTAACATCCAAATTCGTACTTTAAAACTCAAATTTGATTAATTGTGTGTCTTAGATAAATTTACTTTACTTAGAATAATTTAGATAACCTAACAAAAATTATCTTCCCAGTTTTTTGTCAATTTGGAGTTAGAAATAATAAATTAGTAATTAAATAATAGTCTTTGTAGGACGATCATCCAGACTCATAGGTCCGCTTTATTACTTGTCACAATATAGTACACTTGTGATAGAAAAATACGCAATATTGGCCCTCAATCCATGCAGTAACGCCTTATCAAACTCGATGCTAAAATGGCATTTCATAGGTGCAGGTTGCGAATTGGATGATTCTTATATTGTGGTGGCAGCCCACTATCTTTGTGTGAGAAGGCTTTATCTGGTCAGCCGTCAACGCCTTTATTCTGTGCATCAGATAGCAAATGATCAGCAAGACTAAACCAATGAAAGTTTTGCTTATGTCATCACTTCATCTCTACACATCGAACAGCTATAAAAGCAGCAAGATTTGTACAAGAAAAGGCTTATGTATGTGTTTGGTTTTGGTCAACAGGACAAACGACTTTGAGCTTTCGACTTTCTTATCTCATTTTTTTTTGCTCTGCTCGTTGGGCAGCCTTGAGATTTTGCTCTGTGTACGATACATCTTACAGGGAGTAAGACTTGTGCAAGAAAATGATTTTCACTGAGACGAAAAACTCAAATAATCGAAGCTTGCTTGCTATGTCAGTTGCTTTGGAACAAGTTTCATTCTCCAAGCTGCAAACACTTAATGATTTTCACTTAATTGTACACTTTGCTTAGGCTTTGGTCAAACTCGATCTTTAGTCAACCATAAGTCAGCACTTACAATCTTTTCTTTTTTTGGATATGCCGCTCTGCGAGCAATGAGCAAAAGGTTGTTTGATCACACAAGTATATCTACCTATCGTACCTCTCGAAAGTTCCGTAGTAGGGTTTTTCGAAAACTATTATTCTGGTATGAATGGCAGACAGTCATATATCCCTTGGTTTTAATAAGATTCCATACAAGTCTTGTCTCTATCTATTATTATCTAAAAAAATAAAGTTTTGAATGACTGGACGGAGCCAAAATGGGTACTATCGGGTCTGGTGAATTCAATAATAGACGCTTTCACTTAAACGATTTTCACTGACTTGTATAATTTTCTTAGGCTTTGATCAAACTTGCTCTTTTCTTGGAACTCGTCTTCCATTCTTTCATCGTTGCTGCAGAAACTTCCGTCTTCTGTTAACTAAATAAACTTGTTCTGTGTTGGATAAATGATAAATGTTACTTTTCATATCTGAACTGTAGCAAGTTAGATTTTGGCCTTCGCATTTCAAATCTCTTTTAGTAATTTCCTTCAAATTCTTCACAATCATGTGTAGATAAGAAATAACCTACACTTAATCACACGGTTAGTCACAATTACTGTGATTAAAACTAGGGGTGAAAGAATGGGCCAACAAACTTGATGCAGTTACAATTTTGAAGGCTCTAAAACTTACAGGCATATATTCTGCAGAAAATATATCGAGTAAAATAGAAAAGAGACTATTTTATGTCATGATCAACAAAGCATGTGAATTCTAATGAAATAAAATATATCGCTTTTCCAAGTGAAATTTTGCTGGTCGTGCTACAATCAAAACCAAAGCATCAAGATTAAAGAGCGAAGATTGATAGACAGAGACTGCACATAGATATATATACACAAACATAAATAAATGCATATAGTATTGGACAAAGATAATTACACAGTGCAAAAAATGCAAGATAACATACTTTGATACAAGATGCTGGATCTCAAGTCTTCCCATAACTGCTTTCTCTCAGATGCTCAAGCACAGCTTTCTTGCCTGTTAAAAACTCGACCAGCCCTGTCAAATTATGAAAAAAAATGAGTTCAGCCACAGGGAAAAGTGAGTTAGATAAAATAATATAGTATTCTTATTCAACTTCTAGACTACAACCACAACGACCAAGCAGGCAAGTAATACCTTAAGCATACACATCATGTTCAAAAAAAGTAACAAGATTATATAGGCAAAAAAGTAACATATGGACCACATGTTACTTCACGACATAAAAAGGAGTAAAGACATCTTGTTCATAATCAAGCTATAGTTAAAATGAACAATTATTAAACAAAAGGTAAACACACAGCATACCATTGGCATAATTTCTACAATCGTGAAGACCAATTCGAAGATCAGTTTCCCATCTTTCATTGAATTTGCTTGCTGCATCTACAGCATTTAAATCAGAATATCCAACAAACCAGCATTTTCTCTTTGGCAATTTCTGTAGCTTCCTCGTGAGAACAACTCCTGCCAAATTTCCAAAATCGGAAACATATATTGCATTTTACAGCATAGTTTGCCATCTTAAAAATTTTGATTCAAATACACACCAAAGAAAATAAACTAATTTGCAGATTGTTTTAGCACAATTATTTGGTTTTGCTCTTGATAATGAAATTTGTGAATTGTTAAAATTGTTATACTGATACAGTACCTCCCCTTTTTCAATCACAAGTGATGCAAATACTAGAAAGTTGAAAGGAAGCAAGCATCCAGATGCTCCACCATCTGGACTTCGTGATAAACAGGAGAAAGTACTACAACTCAAACATAAAATTTGAAATCGAATTGTGAAACTATAATATATTCTTGTCAACAACTTCAAAAAGCACTGGAACCTTGAATGTCCCTAAAAGACAACTAATGAATTATATCCTTTTTTACATGGACAGCTATCATATAACTTTTTTTACAAATATATTTGCATAATTGCATAAATCAAGTTCTCTCGTACAATTTGGCATACCAATGCGTCAAAATACTTCAGCTTCAAAATGATAATGTTGCTATCATATGCTCATCCATGACATATCCTTCAATCCAATCCTAAGCAACTCGCTTACTTTCAGGTCACAATTTACTTGCATCACTTAGGTTTCTTAATGCATCACAAAAGCAAAATTTAGTGGCACCATTTTTCATTCTTTCTTAAATAAAACAAGTTCAATACTACAATGTGTGAAATTCAATATAACAATGCCCACGAGTATTTAATCAACCCACAAATTAAGTTACACAATCAGCAGCCAATTACATGAATATATATTATACCATAATGTTTCAAGAATTTCTATCCCAACTCTCGATGTTGCTTCCCTATTTACAAATTTGTCCTTCCGAGATGTCCTCCAGTCACAGTAACATTTTGGATAAGCTTGTGTTCAAGATAATAATGTTAAAATTGGAAATGCAAAAAACTAAGTCAGAAAAGATTTTAATGCCCTAAACTCCCACATAAATTGATCAATTATAGAGCTTGAAACCTAAACGAGTTTTAGACATGAGGGCAAAGAGGTACCCAAACACCAGATTAGATTTTGCGATAGAATTGGACGAAATTCCATCGTTTTTGGAACATCACACAGAATATTTTGCATTTGTATCTTCATCTTTGAGATGTGATTCTCTTTCTTCCTCTATGATTTATTATGAGCAAGAATCCTAGTAGCTTCCACTGGACACCAGAACTTTGATTATTAGTAGGAAAAGTGGACTTAGTAGACAATGTATTGGACGAAATGGACACGGAATAAAGAAGCTTATTGCATTGGTAAAAGTACCAAACAAGTTAAAAGGGGAAGCTTTTAGCAGTGATTGTAAATCAACTGCGGTATCGTCGGACTAAAGAACAAAGTGCCTAAAAGGCGAACATAGCATAAATGAGGGAGTTAAGATGGATGTATGGCCATATTAGAACGAATAAACTAAGAAAGGTATGTATCAACAAGTGGACGTGTCACCAATTGCAAGACATCCAATGTGAAACTATAGGGGTTACAGTTTATATTTCCTGTGTTTGTAGCGTGTGAAGATGAAAACCTTCTCAATTAATAAATAATAAATAATGAGAAGTTTAAGCATAGCTACAGAATGACCCAAACAGTTTTATACAGTCAAAATCACTATTAAAAATCAAGAAAAATGGACGATATTAAAGGCTTACCAGGTACTTTTCTACCGGATAATGCTGCAACAGCAACTAATATATTTTCAGGATCCTGAGGTTGAAAATCGAAAACTAAATCCTGCAAAAAAGGGAGGAGTAAAATATAATCGTTGGCATTAGGCGGAAAAAAAAAAAGATAAAAATAAAAAGAAAAAACAACAATAACAACAACACACAAACACACACATGTTGTATATAAACACTACTAAAATCAAATCAAATGAGAGAAGATCGAAAACATCAGAAAATTGACGGAACCTGAGAGTGAGGAGACTTAAAGGGTTTGATGATGACCATATAATGCTGGAAATCCCACAAATTGAGAGAGTAAGCAGTCGAAGTAAACAACTGGGCAGGCCTTGTCGTCGCCCTCAGTGGCACCGCCGCTATGTAAATTTCATCTCTGCTGCTTGTGATTGGCGGTGTTAAACTCGCAGCTTTGCAGCAGAAGGACATCGCATTGGATGAAGTAATGAATGGTTGTGAAGTTTTGAAGAACAGCGAGCTAGGAGCCTACGAGTAATTTTGTTCAACGGATGTATGCGACCTACGCTGTGCCAGAATTCTTAAACGATATGGATATTTAAATTTTAGTAACTTTTTTGCAATCACTCATTATCGCATATATGCGACAATTAGTAATTTAATACATTGTTATTGTAATTTTTTTATTAAATTATACAACATACCACTAATTGTCACATGTTTGTTACTTAAAACGATTACGGTAGTGCGCGATAATAAATAGCATTATTCTTTAAAATTTAAAGAATGCTCAATAAAATTTTAGCTTACATTACTACTTGCTCATTGAACATTAAAATATAACTCGTTGCTCACTTATTTATCAAATTGCTTGTCCATTAATCTCATATTATCTTCGTTCTCCTAAACTAACATAATGTGCCACAAGGCGACGGAAATCCGACGTAGCACATCACACACGTGAATGGGCCAAAAGAGCAAAAACCCACTCTCGAACCTTCATCTTCTCCCTCCATTTCTCGGATGCAGCCTAGTCTGTGATGTGCATGCCCATTAATTAGTGCAGCGGATTTTAGGGTAAATTTTAGGATTCTTCACGGATTGGGGAACGAATTTGGGTTTCGATTTAGGATGCTTCTTTCATGGTACATTATGTTAAGAAAATGGAAGTTGGAATGGGGGCGATTTTAGGGTTCTTCACGGATTCGAGGGCGAATTTGGATTTCGATAATATAGAAATCCAAAAACTTTCATGAAAGCTAAGGGGGTCACATCTCTCACATAGCGTGCTTGGAAAAAAAACCCAACTGAAAGGTGAAGAGATATATGGCAGGGAAGGTGAATTTGGGCTACTGTTGTTTCCATGATTAGGCGACGACGGCATTGGAGGAGGGTGATGATGGCATGGCTAGTACTTAAGAGCAGGTGTGGCATTAGGTCGAAGTGGATCTTTTGGCTTGTGATGGTGGAAATTTCAGCTCACGTTCCACTAGTCGTGGCCAGTTCTGTGGTTTTTGGTTGGTTGTTTGGTCGAGAATGTAAGGGAGACATAAGTGGGATTTCGATCGGGTTTTGTGATGAACGACGACAAGGCTATAAACCCATGTTGGCTGGTTTTCTGATTTCACATCTAATTTCCAGCTGAGTTTTCTAATTTCACGTCTAATTTATGTGCCATGTGGAATTTCCGTATTGCTTTAAGATGACAGAGATCAAATGGGTGATGAACGGATAAGCAATTGGAACGTTGCGTGACCAATGAGTTACGTTTTAGTGTTCGATGAGCAAATAGTAATATAAACTAAAGTTTAATAAGCATTGATTAAATAGTATTATTTATTCCTAAAATTCTAAAAATTCAATATTTTTTTGTAAGTTCTTAAAAAATCCTTTAGAGGCATGGTGAATTAAATCGAGATATTTCAAAAGTTAATTCTAATTACTTTTATAGTATTATTAATGTACCTTTTAATCAAAAGTACAAATATAAAATTTCATAAAAAATATCTCTTTCACCCAATATTTTGAAAGACTTTTACAAATAAAAATAAATAAATAAATAAATATATATATATATATATATATATATATATATATATATATTTCGTTCTTCAATGGTTATTTTTCCTCTTTTGTTCAACGGGCTATAGTATTTTTCTCTCCTCAACCCGTTAATATTATTATTCTATTTTTAATATTCTCATTTATTTTCTTTTCTTTTCTATCTTTCTTTTACACTATTTTATCCTTTCATCTATGAGAAGATAAATGTGTATATAAAAGTTCCTAGTAAGAGCATGTTTGAATCCATTATTTGTCCAACATATTTTTTAGAATAGTATTTTGATGAATAATATGTGACTAGAAAAAGTAAAAAAATTTGGATTTGCATATAATATTATTTTATTGAAAAATGTGTGATTGAAAATAAGATAAAGAAAAATATAATTTGAAAATAATAGGACCAGAGAAATATTCCTAATATACCTCAACATTTTTTAGCACCAAACATCCACAATCTTTTCGCTTAACGTGTGCTTGTTTGCCATTTTGGTTTTCATTTCTAGAAGAATTTCAATTGTTGCACGATAAAGATACAGGTGCATTTATTGTCCATCAGAAGCAAAATTACCTTTTTACCCTTTTACACGTTTATTTCAAAGTTAAGGAGGGGATATTTTGGGGAATATCCATGCTGTTGAGTAAAAAAAATGGCTGTGTATGAGTCCACTTACTGTTTGAATTAGCAAAAACCTTCTTAAATATGGTGAAAATGGATGCCAAACAGGTACTTAACTGCAAATTAAGTCCGTAATTTCATTTTTACTTTTAAAATTCCCCTCTTTAAGAGTCTCCAGTCTTTTAAAAAAAATCATAAATAGATTATCTTTTTCCTAAGGACCCCTACCCAAAGCACTCCACCCCACCCCACCCCGATCCCATCCTACCCTACCCTTGCCTTAATCTCTGCCTCTACTCTATGGATTCCTCAATCTCGAGTCTTCGTCGTCTCGATCATGACTAGGCTACGATTTTCTCCAATCAACCACAGTCTCTATCGTCTCGAATATGGTCTTTGAGCCCTCTGTAATCTCGGTTACCCTCTTCGTCTCCTTCGACGTTGCTTCTACCACCCTAGGCACCCTTTGTGTCCACTCCAACATTCTCTTGGCCCTCAAGGAGCCCTTCACCACTTCCGACAATCCCAATCACTGCGGACACTCTCTTCACTCCCTTGGACACTCACTTCGAGACTCTCTCCATTTCATCTGCCTAAAGCATGTCATGCTTACTCAATAACTGTTACTTTCTTTTTCAAAAGTTCTATTTCAATTTCACCGCGTCAAGTGACTTGTAATACATTCAAATAAATCATCAACTGTGATAGTAAAAAGTGGAAGTTGGGTGAAAGTTGATACGGTGTAGGGGACCAACAAGATGTTGCAAATTGACATGCGGAGGGATGCCATACAATAAGGGAGTGCTCATAAATAAATATGAAAATTCATAATTATTACATTTCTACCGAATGTAATAACACAAATTTGTCATGTAAATCTACACACATCATTCACATCAAGATAGACATCAAGGATTGAATCTTCTCTATCGTAGAAGGTACTGTTGCATGTTGTCACACCTGTCCTACTCACCTGGGCCAATGGCCCACTCATCTTGATCCACGTGGCATTCCTGTCGAGGTGGCACACATTGCCGAGGTGGGTTATATCCGAAGTGCTTCAAGCCGAGGTCCAACTACCGAGGCCCACAACCCGAAGCATGGAACCTATTGAATGTAGTTGAGGTCCTCAAGTGGAAGTATTTGTCAAATGGTCGAAGCCCCGAAGCTGATGCACGAGCCTCTTAACCATAAGGAGCTTCCTCCACAGTCACTTTTCCCAAGAGATCGCCTGCTCAGAGATCTTATTCGAATGACTGATGGAACGTTTGTCACAAGCATAAATGTCAAATCTTGTCACTAGTATGGAGGACCTACGCAAGCAATAAATGCGCCGTAAGCTAGCAAGTCAAGCCCCATACCTAAGAAAAGACGTTTGAACTAAAGAGATGAGGTCACGTGCCACTTCATCCAAGGGCTCCCATTTCATATGTATCACTATAAATACATTCATTGTGTAATGTCAAAGGCTAATGCAAGAATCAATACTAAAGACTACATTTACTCAACTCTCTCTCATTTACTTGCAATACACAAATCGAGTTTATACACTTTTACATATACATTTGCGAGCACCGATTGGTAATTATTGTACAATCGGATTACGAACAACCCGTCGGATTCCAAACATCACCGTCCCGCGTCGTTGGGCTACTCCCATGCCCCTTTGAACCGCTCGTTTTAGACCGTCCACATGTCTTAGCGTGTTGGACATTTGCCCACGCAAGCGCGGGTGGGACCGGCATCTGTTGGCGCACTTTTTGGGGTCAACAGATTGGCGCCGTCTGTGAGAAACCATACCATAACCACGAGCAACCTTGTGGTAGAAGCTTACTGAAAAACATTTGGGCAACCCCCCTTGGAAAAGGATTTGTTCTTGAAAAAGAACAGAAGGAACCCCTATCACTTAGAGAAATCTAAGTTTGATAAAAGGAAAATGAGTTCTAACAAAGATATTCCCCCAATGAGGGTAAGAGAAAGCACGAATGCGCCTCCCCAGCCTGCTGCCCCAGAAGCTCGTCCGAGGCTCCACTACCACCAAAGGAGAGGCGGGATACATGCGACAGCACGACTATCAAGAGAAATGGCTACCATGGCAGCCAACATGAGGGATATAGCCAACCAAAACTTGGCCATGAGGGAGCTCATGGCCCAAATGCAAGGTCCTCATGGCCCAAATGCAAGGTCAGGGAGGCTTTCCCATTCCTCCATATGCCCCCCCACAAGCACTATCAGCAAGAGGACGTGGTCCAGAGTCATAGGGCTGCCTCGCCAACTATGGCCGAGATGAAAGCCCATTCGAGAGGGAAGTGGGAGTCGACATTTCCTCCAACTATGCATCTGACCGACCCACCGAGGTCCAAATGAGCCATGATAACTTTCCACTTTCATATGAGCAAGACCCAAGACATAGGAGAGCAGGAAGTGTTTTTGACAGAATCAGCCCTGTCGAACCGAGGCCCAGTCAACAGCAGGCTCAGCAGCCTCGGACGAAGCCATAGCCTCCACCTCCGATACCCCAGTAGTAGGAGATAAGGCATGAAAATGCCCCCCGCGCTGTCCCGCCTAGAAGTAGGCCGCAGAGGAGGGAGGAAGAGGCTAGGAAACGGCCCGGACCCTCTTACCAACAACCAAGGTACGAGGTCGATAATTATGATTCTGATGAGCAGCAGAGGTCCTGTGACTTGGACGATGATGATGAGAACCTGCCATTCTCAAGAGAACTAAGAAATGCTCAGGTCTCGAGCCACTATATCATGCCAAAAATACCAAAGTATGATGGAAGAGGTGACCCAGAAAAGCACCTCAATGCTTACAAAACTCACATGAGCCTGAGGGACGCCACCCCAGCCATGAAGTGCAGAGCATTCCATTTAACCCTCAATGGAGCGGCTGAAATCTGGTATAGTA